AGTTGCAATCAGAACGGAGCCCATTAAGATAGTTAAAATCGCCCATTCTTGTCAAATTTTTCACTCAGTTTTTGACCTCCCCAGAAACGCATAGCAAAAATGAAACCCAATTTGTGATCCTTGCATGAACGTCTGCAACAAAGCAACAAACCATTTCCAAAAAGCGCGCCCCACGACCTGAAAGACCTCCCTTGTAAGTGTAGTGCCTCCAAGTAATTCACCTATTTCTCACACCGCTGGTCTGATCCCAAGGGTTACTGGTGTTGTCTTCTAAGTGCACTGGTCAGAATGTTGTGGGGTCGATTGTTATGGTTCTTCGTATGCATTCCTACTGATTGTGATGTTATCACTTTTCTCCTAGACTATCTTGCTTCTCGTGCCTAACTTCCATTGTTTCCCATTTGTTTTCTCCGCTATAACAACAACCTAAAAACTGCAAGAAGTACTGTAAGAGAGCCCAGTAGATTAGCGCTGTCAGTGGTGCCGGAAATCATCACGTTGTGTGAAAATTTTGGTGGATATGATTATCTTCCTTCACTAGCTTTTCTACTGCGCTGTAGCCCCTTTCACAGCTTACCTACTATTTTACCAAGTATTGTCGTCGAACGGGGGACATTCAGTTTTGCTGGCTGCGGATGCCAGGGCGTGTCGAAGGGGCTGAGTTTGGCGCGGCACCAACCTGCTCTCCAACAACTGTGTGAGCTGGTAAGACACCACAGTGGGAAACATGGTGACGCTGTGCGAGACTCAGCCCCTTCGACACGCTCTAGCATCCGCGGCGAAAAGACTGTAGCGCCGTGAATCAGGATAACTCGACAACCGGTTGGATCTTTCTCAAGCTACACTACAGCCTCCTCTTTAGCAATCAAAAATATGACACCGGCTGTGACTTCCACATCGATGATGTATTCTGTATGCGCCTGGAAAAACGAGCTCAATTTTTCGAAATTTGAAGCAAATACTGCAGCGCTCAGGTGACAGTGAGAACCCAGCAACAGTCAGATTATCCCATCACAGCGCTTCAACTCTCCCCTCATTAACTTTTTTGGTCCACATAAAGTTCCCCTTTATTTTGGCCTGTGAGCACACTACCAAGCCTGGCCATGCTACTGCTTTCATAATTGTGAAATTTTACGCTTTCGGCACTGATTGTGTTTCCGATGGGGGTCACCACCTGTGCAGAAACTGAAATTCTCGCCAAATCCCTGGCTATTTGTGCTGCTCATTTTCCGAATGTTCAGTTGCTTTTCTTCTCAAGCTTTTAGTTTCACGTTCTGCCGGTTCTTGCATAGTTTTTTCCGCGCTTGCCTCCTTCACGGCAAGCAAATTTTCCGCTCCGCGGGAGACGGCGTCATAACGTCGGAATTTCGCGGCTGTCTGGTCAGTGCCAGTTGCTGGGTGCGCATTTGAGTCAGTCTAGCCACATGGGTATTCGCTGCGCACCGCAATCATTATAGTAATACGGCTAATGCTAGCTTATTAGGCAGCGTTCAGACTTCGCGACGGCAGCGCTTCGCTCGCGCGATCGATGCGCATGCTTTCGACTGCATCGATCGCGTCGAACGCGCGACCGAAGCGCTGCCGTCGCGAAGTCTGAACGCTGCCTTAGGGGGCCACTCAGCGAGCATGTGACAAGAAATTGTGATTCGCCTTTTAGCGGACGTCGCGTGCGACGTTCACAGTGTCCTTGTCTACATGAAATCCGTTGTTTCAGTGGACAGGCGAATGCATATCAAGAGAGCGCCGTGTGCGACTGAGCGGCAAATTACGATTGTCTTGATCCGTCTCCCCCACTCACCATCGCTCTTCCCTTAATGAAGGCTTCGGCTCAGTGGGAACTATGTCCTCTCTTCGGGACTATCCATTGGCAACTTTGACCGTCTGCGCTCCAAGCCCAAGGCTCTTTGGGCAAAGGATAAAGAGGCGCAGCTGAGTGGTCCCCTCCCTCCGTCAACCACGTTGGTGCACCAAGGCGTACTCTTATAAAAAGGGAACGTAGAAAGGACTTACCAGCTAGCTTTATCTATACTCATTATGCCATAAAGCCTTTTGTGAGTCCTGCTTTCAGAAAGTTTTAACTTTATGAGTCATGCAGTTAGAAAATCGTTCGGCCCTATAGCATCCGTTGGGATGCAATGATTTTGTAATTCAGCACTGCAAAATGATGTGAATATGATAACCCCTTCCCCTCCCCCCTCCCAAGTTGAGATCTGCTGCCTTGGCAAGTTGAAGGAGACCTGACTCCCGGAAGACTTGCATAACTTCCCAACTGCCGCTCAGTCTTGTCACGAGAGGCTAATTTGTGCAACGCACTGCGAGAATGAACGCTACACTTTCGTCATTCTCTTCTACGTCAACATCAAGGAATATTCCGTTTTATAAGCTTCAACTATCTCTTGTCTTGTACGTTTCACGCTCGATTTCTCTTAATCTGAAGCACATAAGCAGGACTAATTCGTATTGCTGTGATGGTTCAGAGCTCTTTGTTTTTAGTTTGACGACAAGGAGCACATGGCGGAGGCTGATCCAAAGTTCACGGAGAAATGTGCACGAGAAATTCGTCAGTTCAAGTGCGACCAGGCCGATTCATTCGAGGATACTGTGGAATGCCTAAGACTCAATTATGAGGGATTAGGTATCGACTTTCTGCCATCAGTTTGAATAGCTCAGGCGCGAAGACTCTTGAGGAATTAATTTAGGTCCTGAATGCAAATCAATGGTATTCTATCGTGAGAAGATCGAGGCTGTGGATAATACGATGGACGATGAGCTCCAGGTTGGAATTAGCTTAGGGTTTCCACCGTTGAAAAATAGGTTGAGGGCACGGTGGGGGAGGGGGAGAAATTTTGCACTTCGGTTACTTTCCGTCGACGTGTCGGGCCATCTAGAGAGCTATTTCATAAG